TGTGTGCCTTGGCAGTCTTGTCTCATAGTTGAGGTATACCTAGGATGAAAATTACAGGCCTCTCTCATCTTTTTAAGTGGGAGAACTTGCACAATTGGTGGCTGACTAAATACTTTTTTGCCCCACTGTACTTGGAGGAAGGTATTTGTGTTCTGTGTTTAGACTTTAGGGAACAGGACAGTGTAATTGATAGCTCTGGCGAGGCAAAACTGTCCAGCAGAGATATTGACAACTCGCCGGGACCAACAAGCTGACTACCATATAACACCTCACTAGCCCCCCCCCCCAACTCCAACCCAAATTCCATGTTGTCATATTTTTTCCAAGATTTAGCCTTCCATCTGTGTGTTTTTTTTCAAGCTTGTCTAATAGGCCCCTCATTAATTTGTTCCTGATTCTGACTGTGGCTGTATACTCATTTGTAACGAAGTCAGTGACGTACAACACCCTGGTGATCTGTTATGGGAACAGCGTGTTCTACAGTGAGGAATCTGTCCTCCTCATATCCTTCTTAAGTTCTCTAATTACCTTTTTAAAAGCAAGATGCTGGTCGCGAAAACTCTCATATTTGTTTATTATATCTGAATGTGACCTATTATACATTTCTTCTTGAATGCTTGTAGACTTATTTGTTTTAGACACAGGCTGCCTTTCCACAACCTGTAGTTTAATACATATGTAATATACCCTACATTAAAGCAGCAGGTCTAATACATTTTTGTATCTGTTCATCATACTATAAGTTAAATATTGCGTAAAGGATCAATTTACATTGTCATATGAGGAGAGGACCTGATATGTTTTTCCCTGAGTTCTCAGTAAATGTTTTTTCTGAATCCCAGTTTTCAAATTAGCCCCAGCCGTAACTTTCTCCTGATATTTTTAGACGTTGTTCCACCTGCTATCTTTCCATGCCCTTCCCAATATTGTGCAAGCATTATGGCTCTTTCTTCAAATGTCCTGACATTTAAAAATACAGCTATAACTAAAGTTTAACCTCTTTTTGAATGACACAATTCCATTGTTTTAACAGATAAATAAAGCCAGCCATGTCTGAAAGTATCTTTCTTTTTGTTATCCAGGATTCAAGAGAACAGTTGGCTTATATTCCTTCTCATCATGGCAGCCATCTTCTGGCTCTATCGACTTGTTAAAGTGTTTTGCAATGTTATGAGCTACTGGGAGATCAGGCAGTTCTACATCAAAGCCCTGAAGATCAGAATGGTAAGTGCTACACCTAGAGACCTTATCAAATGGATTCATGTTGACAATAATAAAGCCATGAAACCATTGTCTCTGTAGTACTAGTCAGCTTACTCTCTCCTCCCTCCTCTCTCAGGATGAACTATGCAACTTCACATGGCAGGAAGTGCAGGACCGTCTCATCAGCCTGCAGAGAGAACAGCAGATGTGCATACACAAGAAGGAGCTGACAGAACTGGACATCTATCACCGCATCCTGAGGTTCAAGAACTACATGGTGGCCATGATAAACAAGTCTCTACTGCCAGTGCAGCTGCAGCTCCCCCTGCTGGGCAACGTGGTGTTCCTCACCCAGGGACTCAAGTACAACTTTGAGCTCATCCTCTTCTGGGGCCCTGGCTCTCTGTTTCAGAACAAGTGGAACCTGCACCCCAAGTACAAGCGCAACGGGAACCGGCTGGAGCTGGCGCAGCAGCTCAGCAGAGTCATCCTGCTCATGGGTCTGGCCAACCTGCTGCTGTGCCCCTTCATCCTGGTGTGGCAGGTGCTCTACGCTTTCTTCAGCTACACCGAAGTGATCCGCAGAGAGCCGGGGAGCCTGGGTGCGCGCCGCTGGTCCCTGTACGGCCATTTATACATGCGTCACTTCAACGAGCTGGACCACGAGCTGCACGGACGTTTAGGCCGCGGCTACAAGCCCACGTCCAAATACATGAACTCCTTTACGTCACCGGTGCTCACGGTGCTCGCTAAGAACTTTGCCTTCTTCTCAGGCTCAATTTTAGCTGTGCTCATTGCACTGACAGTCTATGATGAAGATGTCCTGACAGTGCAGCACATCCTCACCGCCATCACAGTGCTCGGAGTGGTCATCACCATCGCCAGGTGAGCTTTCAGAGGCAGGTTGGATTTACCTGGTGCCAACTCGGTGTTAAATCTTGCTTTTTGTTAAGGTTGAAGACCTTATTTTAATTGTAATAAAAAATTACAATAATGACTAATGCAACAGCGAAATAGTTGTAGAAGCAACGTTTGGGGAAATCTGTGTTGAAGTAGCTTTTAAATAAAGTATTGTTTTGCTGCTGAGTCCTGGCCTGTCCAAATCAGATTCTTACAAGACTTAAGAAAAAATATGCTTGTTGCAGATCCTTGCAAAAAAAAAAATCGTGATACCAGGATCATTTAATATATTTAACATAATGAAAAGGGAAGTCATGATAAGTGAACATCGCTCAAATATTGTGAATGATATCGTAATGTCATACTCATTCAAAAATATTGCAATTAGGTATTTTAACCTCATTATCTAGCCCTACTGTTTATATTATAATCTAAACATATCTATATACTATGATTAATTATACTTTTGTTTATACAGTTTTGAGTTATCACTTCCTTTTCGATGTACTCCATTGGCGTTCTGAAGTTTCTTTCCAGTTATTGAGTGAAGTTATAGTGAAAAGTAAACTGTACGCTTCATCATCCCTCACTCACTCGTGTTTATGGGAACGCTTTAAGTGCATCCATTCCTCCTAATCACTAACAGATTGTTCTGCCACAAAACAATTTAAACATTACAAAACGATTTCATTTTAGAGATGATAGTGAACATGTTTTGTCCATATCCTCCTCCAGGTCCTTCATCCCAGATGAGCATATGGTGTGGTGTCCAGAGCAGCTGCTGCAGTGCATGCTGGCACACATTCACTACATGCCAGACCACTGGAGGGGACATGCTAACAAGAGCGAGACCCGCGACGAGGTGGCGCAGCTGTTCCAGTACAAAGCGGTGAGGAACGGAGGGACCGAGTGGATAGGAACACATTTGTTACATTTTAAATCAGAGTTATGGATGATGGAGGATTTTCGTTTGGATTGATGACATTTTTAGATACGAAGCACCTGGTCAATAATGAGACTTTGTCAGACTAGATACAGTCTGTTAGCCTTCACAGGATTTATTGATGGGTTTCTGGGAAGTTTTGACATTCATCTGATTATGTAAAGGGGTTGAACGTATTTAAAATGTGACTCCTTATTTCTGTGATTCAATCAGGTGTTCATCTTGGAGGAGTTGCTCAGTCCCATTGTCACACCCTTCATTCTCATCTTCCACCTGAGGAACAAATCTCTAGAGATCATCGACTTCTTCAGGAACTTCACTGTGGATGTCGTTGGAGTCGGAGACATCTGCTCCTTCGCGCAGATGGACATCAGGCGCCATGGAAACCCAACAGTAAGATTTGTTACTTTAGCTTTTCTCAAACTGGGAATGTATATATATATTTTTTATTAGTCAATTTATTGAACATGTTAAAAACAAAAGAAACAATAATAATATTAACAAAAGAGAAGCAAAAATAAAAAAGGTGTACAAATAAAAAATACATTCTCAAATAGTTTCCTTCATGTTCAAAAGGGGCTAGAAGAAGCTTTAAAACATTTCTGGTCCTATCCACTAGCATACATTGTTCATGAAAATAAAAGTTCAGGTCATCCTCATCAGCATCCGTGATATTTGATTCTTTTTTTTAAACAAATCACTCCTTTGTGCAAAACAAACAAAAACAAATAATCTTTACAGGTAAACCAAAACTGTCAACGACAAGAAATAACAAGCATGAATTCACAGGTCCTGCTCTTAATGTTGGTAAATGAATTTATATTTCTGTATGTTTTTGCAGTGGATGTCCCATGGCCAGACGGAGGCGTCCATATACCAACAAGCTGAAAACGGAAAGACAGAGTTGTCTCTCATGCATTTCACCATCAAGACCCCCCGCTGGCAGCCGCCTCAGGAGAGCTCGGTGTTCATCAGCCATCTGAAGGAGAAGGTGCACCACGACGCTCAGGGCGGCCCCTCCACCCAGCTGCTGCTCTCTGAGGCCCCGCTCTGCACCTCGCTGCAGTCCAACGGCTCCGGCGCTGCGGTAGGAACCTTGATGTTACAATAAATATGAATTGCCTCAGAATGTTTAAATAATTCAAGAGTAGAATTCTCTACTTTTAAAGGTCACCTATTATGCAAAATCCACGTTTTCATGTCTTTAATACATCAACATGTGTCCCCTCTGCGTAAAGAGATTCTGAAAGTTTCAGGAAAAAAGATTCTCTCTCTTTTTAGCCGGTCCAATCTTGTCCACACTCGGTCCTGTGACCGGTCGTCTAATAGTCCGCCTTTTTTCTGTGTGCTCGGTTATTTACATCTTGTTCTAATGTAACTTTATCTTTTCGATCGACTGTAACATCTTTATGAAATACGCTAGTAGATCAATTTCCAGGGATAATATGATTCAAATAGTACTGAAATAATATCTAGAGTCTATATATGTTGTTGTACAGAGACTCCAAAACAGCTTTTTGGTTTTCTAGTAACGTCGTAGGTATTTGTCGGAGACAAAGTCTGTGTTACAAAGTTTTTTTTGTTATGTCAGTACAATGACAATCTACTTTTACTTCCTGGGGGGAGTGTGTGCGGGCCGACTCTCTATAAATCAATTTTTTGGTATGCTACCACGAGATCCTCCTCTCAAGTGTCACTATTCCACCCGTCCACATTGGACCAACCCACTAACCAATTACCATGTGTTCGGTTTTTTAGCAATACTGTAGTATTTCACCAGTTTAGACTAGTGAGTAAAACGTTGTCCAAAATCATTATTTTAC